AGTTTCAGCTTTGCAACCATACTTCCCCCGGAACCCGAAAGCTTTGGTTTCCCGGAAGCTGCCCGCCGAGTCATAGAAGTAACTTCGGCGGATCGCTAGCTGGCATAGTTTATGGTTAGAACTAGGGCGGTATCTGATCGCCTTCGAACCTCTAACTTTCGTTCTTGATCGATGAAAGCGTTTTTGGCAAATGCTTTCGCTTAAGTCCGTCTTGCGACGATCCAAGAATTTCACCTCTAACGTCGCAATACGAATGCCCCCATCCGCACCCATTGATCATTACCTCCGTCTGTCGTTCCACAAAAACCCAACAAAATAGAACGGAGGTCCTATTCGATTATTCCATGCGCGTGTATGCGAGCGCAATTTAGCCTGCTTTAAGCACTTTAATTTGTTCAAAGTAACGTTGCCGGCCCCCGCCTGGACACTCGGTTAAGAGCACCCCGTAGGCGAGTTCGTTGTACCGGCTGGACGTCCAGCGGTGCGCGCCAGTTGGCGTCGCGAGCGACGAACCGGCGGCCGAGGACACAATTTCGACTACGAGCTTTTTAACCGCAGCAACTTTAATATACGCTATTGGAGCTGGAATTACCGCGGCTGCTGGCACCAGACTTGCCCTCCAATTGATCCTCGTTAAAGGATTTAAAGTGTGCTCATTCCGATCACGGGGCCTCGGATGAGTCCCGTATCGTTATTTTTCGTCACTACCTCCCCGTGCCGGGAGTGGGTAATTTGCGCGCCTGCTGCCTTCCTTGGATGTGGTAGCCGTTTCTCAGGCTCCCTCTCCGGAATCGAACCCTGATTCCCCGTTACCCGTTACAACCATGGTAGGCGCATAACCTACCATCGAAAGTTGATAAGGCAGACATTTGAAAGATGCGTCGCCGGTGCGTGACCGTGCGATCGGCATAAAGTTATTCAGATTCGTCGTGCGAGCTATGTTTAGACGGCGAGAACGCGACAACGCGCGAGGCGCCGCCGGCCCCCGCCGCCCGTGTTGGTTTTGATCTAATAAAAGCGCTCCTTCCGTCTCCGGTCGGAGTTCTGTATGCATGTATTAGCTCTAGAATTACCACAGTTATCCAAGTAAATGTTGGTACGATCTAATGAACCATAACTGATATAATGAGCCTTTCGCGGTTTCACCTTATTTTGGTATGTACTGAGACATGCATGGCTTAATCTTTGAGACAAGCATATGACTACTGGCAGGATCAACCAGGGATCTGCTCGACGCCGCGCCCGGTCGCGAGGACCGGTGCGAGTCGGTCGCGGTACGGGGAGCCGTCGTCGTCGATCCCGCCGCCGCACGCCCGGTCTCTATTCGGCGGCAGCGCAGCCGCCGTACGGATCGAGGGCGAGGGGGACGAGACGCGGACTCTCCGAAGACCGCTTCGTCTCGTGTGTGCGGTCCGCACGCTCCTAAGAGCGAAGCTCGCCGCGCTCAAACGAGAGTCGGTGGTTTGTTGTGTGTGCGGGACGACGCCGAACGCGCGCGTGAAAGCAAAAGACGCGGCGCGCGCGGGTCGTCGACCCTAAACTCCGAGAAGGAGGAGAAATCTAAAACTCCGGCGCAATTCGCACTCGCGCCTATGCGGGGTTACGATTTCGTTTGTGCATCCTAATACTGCCGTCTTTAGGACGCCGGGACCTCGCATCGCTCGGTCGCCGGGCCTACAGTCTAAACTTTCCAGTTCGAGATACTATTTGCCGTAAAATTCCGCGGCGCAGCGGGAATGCGGCCTATCCTCGCTCGGAACGAGGCGAGCATTTGCATTGTGCGTTTGTGCGGTACGTCTCGTAAGACGACTCGCCGATCTGGTCGACCGCATTCGGTACGGCGCGCCGCAGGACGGCGCGCAGACCACGGTCATGCATAAGAGACGGCTTGGGTACGCGGGGTCGCCGGGCGACCGACCGAGAGAGCCGTTGTGAACGACTCCCGGAACGGTCGCGCCCCGACACACGTATCGTCAGCGAAGGACACGTGCGCCCATGCGGTAGCGCAATTTCGGAGCGGAGTGCGGACACTCCTTTTACCTCGCTAGATCCGTCCGTGAAGACGCGGGCTCGTCCGTCCAAAAGCAAAGGTATGAACGAGGAGTCGCGCGCAAAACGAAGGACTCGCAAGATCTCCGTACTTCGCTCCGGTCCTGCCGCTGAAACGCCAACAATATTTCGTAGTCTACGGCGAAAGTAGAAACGATAAACATCGCTGCTGGCGCAAAGCGGAGAACTTTCTGCAAAGCTGGATCGTCTTTTAAAAGACGTCGAGCCGCGGTGCGAATTGTTCAAATTGGTTTGAAACACTTCGCGAGAAGCTCGAAGTACGTATCTGCCGTCTCTCGACGAACAGACCCAGTACCATAATATAGTTGATCGACATTCAGGGGAACTCGGCGGGTGGGTACGCGTATCCGTCCGTTCTCCGTACGTTGAAAACCGAGCGCGCGCCTCGAATAGCAGCGCGGCCGCTGCAATGAAAACGATACCTATAAATCACGCCGATTACACAGATTAGACAGCGGAGACTTACACTTCGACACGCATTCTCTATCGGAACCTGAGCCGCGGCCGCGCTTGGAGAACTGGACGCGGGCCGGGCGGCGGTATTAGAGGAAGCGGAGAGGGCATCGGAGTTTCGTACTTCGGCGTGATTTAAAAAGGAGTCGGAGCGTAACGCGGCCGCGCTGGGAGATTCGTGCATCTATCGCGCGGCGGTATTAGTGGAAGCGGAAAGGGCATCGGAGTTTCGTACTTCGGCGTGATTTAAAAAGGAGTCGGAGCGTAACGCGGCCGCGCTGGGAGATTCGTGCATCTATCGCGCGGCGGGATTAGTGGAAGCGGAAAGGGCATCGGAGTTTCGTACTTCGGCGTGATTTAAAAAGGAGTCGGAGCGTAACGCGGCCGC